CCCCCAAAAACCCCCCCCCCCCCCCCCCCCCCCCCCCCCCCCCCCGAAAAATCCCGTGAAAATCAAAACTGGCTACGCTACTGATCTAACTAACAAGCCAAAGATAAAAAAGAATGCACAGTATGACTAAAATGTCATAGGTAGCGAATCTATAAGACACTAGGGAAATAAAGAAGTACAGTAATTATGTTGTTGATACTGCTGTTGGCTATTACTCTGTCGGTAAGTTGGCAGTAAGCTATTGCGTTGAAACAATTCTATTGCAATTCTCCTTTACAAAATTGGAATGCTGTATGTGCACTTAAAAGCTCTCTTTGCTTATCACCAAATGGTGATTTCTAATTTCTTAGCCCCCCCTCCCACATCACCCCAGCAAGTAGCAGTGTTACAGACGAGATTGCGAGTGCATGGGTTATAGTTTAGCATATCATGTCGTTCTCTAATTGTATAATAAGTGGGTCATCAATTGGCTGAGTAGTTAAATCATTATGATATCTCACAAAGATAGATTATTATATTTAAAAATAGTAAACCATTTTTAGGATTCTGCGTAAATCATTTTTAGGTTTTTGAAAAAGATTGTAATACTAAACTTTTTAAGTATGACAATGATAAATTCCTGTTGGATAAGTCTATCTATGAAGTACTACGCTATGAAGTACTACGCTATGAAGTACTACGCTATAAAACACTTCGCCACGAAGTACTACGCTATGAAGTACTACGCTATAAGACACTTCGCCACGAAGTACTACGCTGAAGTACTACGCTGTGGAAAAAGTACGCTATACATTTTTTTAAACCTTAAAGTTGTTAATCCAGTAATTCCCCAATTTAAGCGCTAATTCTTCAAATGTAACTTGAAACACCCTAACACAGATAGAATTAGAAACATTTGACCACTATTGACCAGTTTGGAAGCACACCAACACACATACACGATTAGAAAGATTTGACCACAAGTAACCAGTTTTGTTCCCTAATTATGTTGGCGCCCCGAGGCGGCTGTCCCCTTCACCCCCTACCCCCCACCTCCCCCCCACCTTTTCACGGCCCTGGACAGCCCTGTACGTCCTGTCCAATATTTTCTACGCGCCCTTTGCCGTTATTTGAAGCCTATTTACAACCTTTAAACAGCTTTGCGACGCCTCCACCAAATCAATACGCCACTCCTTTCAAGCATCGACTTAGACGTAGGCGTAGGTCTCCTATTAAAATGAAGACCAGCAAAGAGATTATCCTTAATCCAGTCCCAGTCCACCGGGAATATCTCCGGCTTATTGTGACAAAGAATGGATTTAGCGCCGTGGATCCGATACTCGCCCTGTATCATTACCTCTGTTGTACCCTGTCCTTGTATTTTGTGTACACTAATTACCTCTGTGGTACCATGTCCCTGTCTTTTGTGTACACTAATTACCTTTGTTCGCCCGCTACTTGTGAGCCCCGCCAATCTCTGTCCTCGCAACTTCCTCGCGAGCTGGGATTGCCAAGGTCACGGCCGTCTGCCACGGGGACGTGAAAGGAACGAGTTTTGAGGACGTATTAACAATGTCAAATAAACAGTTTTGTGGTTTAACGAACAGGGTTAACTTGTTATCTTCGCCCGGCCATCATTCATTTAACCAACGTGTTTAACATAACCTTTAGACAATGGTGTGTTGATTCTATAGGGAGTTGAATTTTGACTAGCAATAATTTAACAAATAGTTTAACAGTTCCCCCAGTCTCGTAATAATTTAATGAATGGTTTAACAGTTCCCCCAGTCTCGTAATAATTTAACGAATGGTTTAACAGTTCTCCTTAATAGAGAACTTAACGTCACACTTTATCGTTTCAGCGCTAGGACGTAAAACGCATGCAAATTTACAGTATGACACCTGGTGTTAGTCCGGGTCATAAGAGGTCAAGTTGCGAGCTGCATTTCTTAGTATGACCCCCCTCCTCCCCCCCACCCTCAACAATAATGGACAATGGACGAGACATCATCTGACGACAGTATGGACTGTTAAATGTTGGTCTGGTCCGCAAGACGCCATCTTAGGTCTATATCACAATGTTGAGAACTGCCTCCGTTAAAAAGGCCTGTTACTCTCTAACCTAATGGTTAAGAAACTCTCTCAATGGGGGAGGTGACAAAATCGATCTAGAACACTCTAACATTGACCGGTATCTAGGCGTCATAACGGTCCTCAAACTATTGCACTATTAACGTTGGCTTGTGTCTGTGTCCGACTGACAGCAGGAATGACATGACATGACATGAGTCATCTGTCTGGCTGGATCGTCTCCATCATTTGATGGATACATTTCATGGATAAATCCAGCTTTTCCTAATCGTAAATTATTTAATGTAACAAAAGTCTCGACCTGTAACAGTAACAAGGAGTTCAATACCAGTTAACACTCTTCAAACTAACTTTGAAGTGAAGTGAAGTTGAAGTGAAGTTGAAGTGAGCTCTAGTTTAAGAGTTTTAGAAGTGACCCATTTATTTTAGGCTGATTACAAGCAATGCGTCTCTTGGTAAGTGAGACTCCAGTTGGACAAGGTGAGACTCCAGTTGGACAAGGTGAGACTCCAGTTGGACAAGGTGAGACTCCAGTTGGACAAGGTGAGACTGGATCCTACTCGCCACTGCCATAGCGTTATCAAACAATATTGGTTTTGTCAAATAACGGAACATGAGAAATCATTTTACCTTGGCAGTATCCCACTACAAGACATATCCCACTACAAGACAGTGGCAGTATCAAACATGAATGACAGTGGCAGTCTCCCACTACAAGACAGTGGCGG